CTAAGTCCGTAGCAGTCCCTCATGGAGACTCTGGATGCACTTTATGCACACTGTAGTGTTTTATTACTTTAACAGTAAATTTTCCCTAATCCGATATTTACTTCTACTCTATGTCAGAAGTATTCAAGAGGAAATAAAGTATTAAATAAAAGGTTACAATTAAAAATCTGTAATCGTAAACCACTCAAATATAGGATGCATTACTTGAGAAGAGGCAACTTAATTTGTATCCTAGCAGCACAAATGTCAAATAACTTTTGGTGTAGACAACATGTATTACTCTCCCCAGTGAATTTATAAGGGCTGTGTTTCTTTTGAGATTCTCTAATCTCACTTCATAAGTGCTGGCTCTCAGGATTCAATTTCTCCTTAGAGTAACCAAGAAATAAAATGGGGCCAAGCTGTAGTTTTGAAACCTTGATAAATGCACAGCAGATCTTCCCAAACCATGAAGGGGCAGTCCACTGTTATACCCTTGATTTTTCTACATATGATAAAAGGGACCTTGCATCCAAAACTGCATTATCCCTGGGCAAACAGCGATGTATATATTAAATGATAAAGGAGGAAAAATTAAACAGCTCAATCCTGGTCGTTTCTAGAATTTGCAGAATGTTGCTTGGCCTACCCACTTGAATTATAGAAGCACTAATTTATAGTCAACATCAACAGCTTGCCTCCTTGCTTTCCTGCAAAGGGCTTAGCAGCACACTGAAGGAATAGTTATTTGGCCTATGGTTAGGCCAGCTAGAGAAGGTCTCTTTAGTATCCTGCTCGTCACCAGTTTGCCTTGTTTTCACCTATCCCCTTGCTTCCTTCTTAAATCTTGGAACTGATGTCACTTAGTCAAGAGTTCCATTTTAGTGTTCAGAAGACACACAGGAGGGGAACCACAATGCTCTCTCTTTCTCTTTCTCTTTCTCTTTCTCTTTCTCTTTCTCTTTCTCTTTCTCTTTCCCCAGCCTGTGGTAGGCAACTTCTGAAAGGGACATCCTGGAATACAAGGCTTCTAAATTCCATGGACAATTTCCCTTTTTGAAAGACACCTTCTATGGGTAGAATTTAATGGATCCAGCAACAAAGGGAGGTGGAGCCTTCTCGCACATTTTCTGAACAGCAGAATGGAACACCTGAAAAGGCACTGTTTCTGCTTATACTAGTGGAATCCTTGTTTGATTCTTGAAAACGGTAAACAAATGGTCTAGTGTGACTCATCATCTTCTTTTGTACCAACTCTTGAGCCAATTGTCTCATTTACTAAATGTTGCCCAGCTGTTCGGCAAACCAAACAGCAGCAATTTATCTGTTCTGGTTCCCAAGCTGGTGCTTGCCATATTTTTTGAACTGTAGCTTCCATCATCTCTGATCACAGGCTAGGCTGTCTGGGCATGATGGGAGGTATAGAAAGCATCGGGAAAACCTCAGGTTTTGGAATAATGAACTACAGTATTGTAATGCTGTTTAGACATGGTTTTGTTACGGTAAAGTTAACCTGTATTTGTGGTGATAACATGGGTGGTATGTATGGTAATAGCTATTGGCTCTGCTTCCCCAGTTGCCAACATCATAACTTCTGTGCACAGCTGTTGTTATTGTTTTAGTTGTAGGGCTCCCAATTGCATCACAACTCCTAGGCCCATAAGGTCTGTACATATGCAAATTCAGGATTGGTTCAGATGATCAAACAGCATATCTTATTTAGACCACACTGAAGTGACTACTCTGAATATTCAGACCATAGTTTGCTGTGTTAACCAAACTCAGGTTGTGGGGACTTTGTGAGTATTAAATGACCTTCCAATTGCTGCAGATTATGCAGGCTTTGTTTAACCTTGACACAACTCCCCCTGTCCAGGTTCAGATGCCATAACAAGCCATTTTAAATGTTCAAAATCTGCCCAACAGATGCCAGCATGCACTGCAGTTCACTGTGGCTTAAATAAGCTATGGTGGGCTGTGGTGATCATCCAAACTGGGTCTTTGGTCAGATGATCATGTACAGAGTAGGCAGAGCCAGCTGATGGAGCCTTAATCCCTCCTACATAAATGTTCAGAACCAAAAGTGTTTAATTCATAGACCTTTGCATGTATCAGTACATAACAGCTCCCCATGGCTTCACACCCTGTCAAGTGAGGAATTACCTGCCATGACCATAAAGGGAAAATTAAGAAATCTTTCCCCCCAACACACATTAGTGTAATGAACTTAAACAATAAACATACAATCGAATGGGCATTTCTGGCTGAAACAACAAGGTATTTTAACCAACATTTTTATTTACTGTAGAAACAGAAATTTTCTTTCACTCTAGTATTTGCCAACAGAAAGTGACTTCTGCTTTTATAATTTCATAAGTACATTGTGTAATAACATGGGTTCTTTGCCACACCCAGAAATGAGATTGCTGCTGTTGAGCATTATCCCTGGAGGTAGTGACAACGGAACTTAAAAAAAGATGTCAGGACCACTCACTGATTAATTTAGGAAATAAAATGCCATAATATTTTCCAGATTACACATTATGAAAATAAGTTTTTCAGTGTATAAGGTCTAAACAGGAATTATTATTATTATTATTAGAACATTTCTATGCCGCCCCTTGCCGAAGCCTCGGGGCGGCTTACAACACAATAAAATACAATACAATATACAAATAACAATATAAAATTAAAATTAATAATATAAAATAAAAAATATAAACGATATAAAAGAAGTTATAAAAGAAAAGTTATAAAAGAAAAGTCACCCTGGCCAGATAAATAAGTAAATATTGTTAACAATTAAAATGATGTTTAAATAAAAAGGTCTTCACCTGGCGCCGAAAAACAAATAACGACGGCGCCAGGTGGACCTCTCTGGGGAGCACATTCCACAGATTGGGCGCCACCGCAGAGAAAGCCCTCCTCCGAGTACATACCCTCCTAATTTCTTTCACGGAGGGTTCCCGGAGAAGGGCCTCTCCCGCAGATCTCAAGGGGCGGTCGGGCATATATGGATGTAAGCGCTCCTTCAGGTAACCAGGTCCCAAGCCGTTTAGGGCTTTATAGGTCATAACCAACACCTTGAATTGGGCCCGGACTTCAATGGGAAGCCAGTGAAGCTGTCGGAGGACTGGAGTCATGTGAACATAACGCTCCATCCCCGTCAGCAACCTGGCAGCTCTATTTTGAACCAATTGAAGTATCCGGACTGTCTTCAAGGAAAGCCCCACGTAAAGCACGTTACAGAAGTCAAGGCGGGAAGTCACCAGCGCGTGTGTCACCGTCGCCAGGCAGTCGTACTCCAGGTAGGGGCGCAGCTGATTAATCAGCCGAAGCTGAAGGAAAGTGCTCCTCGCCACCGCTGTCACCTGAGCTTCCAATGAAAGCTCCGGGTCGAGGAGTACTCCTAAGCTGCGGACCTTGTCCCTAAGAGGGAGTGCAACCCCATTCAGGGCCAGGTCAAATCCACCCTCTCCGAAGCCCAATCCGCCAATCAACAGGACCTCCGTCTTGTCTGGACTGAGCTTCAGTTTATTGGCTCTCATCCAGCCCATTACCTCGGCCAAGCACCAGTTCAGCACAGCCTCTGCCTCACCTGGATTAGTGGAAAATGAGAGGTAGAGCTGGGTATCATCAGCGTACTGATGATTCCGTAGCCCACTTTTTAAAACCCAAGATAACACTTTTAAAAAGTGCAGTTTTAGTTTCAGAAACTCATTACTGTGGGCTCAATGGGACCTACCTACCTAACCCTCAGTGAAGCTCCTATTTTTTATGTTATTTGAAATGTATTATTGATTTGAATGTTATATGCAGAAAAGTATGTCATAAATATATTGAAATACAATAAAATGTGGCAGTTTTCTCTGTACCAAAATATTTCTAATGTACTTTCTTAACTTATAGGAGAATTGCTTTGTTACAAAATATTTTTTCCTGTACTGTACAAGCTCTAGAATAGTTTTGTACCAAATACTTTCCTCCGCAATATATTTGAACAGAGTGCTTACAACAAAGTGAGACAGTTTTGTCTGCTCATAATTTTTCTGTATAGTAATTTTTCAGGAGCCATGGCACATAAAAGATGTGTTATGAGCAGATGTTTGAATTCAGAGTAGCACTACAGAAACAGCTGGCAATCTAGTGGAAGCAATTGTCATTAATTCCCAAGGGCCTGAATTCCAGTTTGAGAAGAGTCTTTAGGGCCACATTCCACAAATGGGTACAGTGCAGGAGGTGGGATTAAGCAAATAGGCAGGGCCAAATATTTTTCATATCAAATTGAACATCTTCCAGTCAAGCACACAAGCCACAGTTCACTTGTTTGTCTAATCAGGAGTAAGACCCCAAAGAGCAAAAGGTGGGAAGGGCAGCAATTTTCCTCCTCTTTCTTCAAGCAGTTCTGGGGCTGGTGTATTTTCCCCCTATTCCAGGGATATTTCAAGGGAATGTGAGGGCTTTGAATTTGGCAGATCCAAAGCCACCTTCAGCTGGCACCTAGAGCACCCCTGTCTTGCCATAACTGTAATCTAAAGAGTAATAGCAGAGTAGCAAGGGCAGCAAAGGTTTTCAGGCTTGCAGCAGGAAGGCTTGTAAGAACTGACCTCCATTCTCAGCCTACAGACCTTCCTTTCCAAGTGTGCTGAGGGGTTTTATTTTATAAAAATTAAACTCTATTTTATATTCCCTGGGATGACTTCCAAAGAACCATGGGATTGCAACCTAAAGCATTATATGTGATATTTTATGGTATTTTTCTACTATTTCAGAAGACAACATATGTTCCTTATTTTGCTAGGGTTCCTTTTGCAATTGAAATAAAACTAGCTCCTACTCCAGTGTTTAAAACACCATTCTCAGATATCAAGAGATGCTTTTCAAAATAAAGCAAAGCAATTTTCCCCCATTACAAATTGTAATGGGAAATCATTTGTAGGGTGCAAATTACATATGCCTGATTGAAAATGGGGTTCCTTACTTTTTCTAGTCAAGTAACTTGGTGTTTCTTTTTGTCCTAGTTTAGGCTTGGATCACTGACACTACAAAGAGTCTCAAGCCCAGGTGATGTCATCAGAGAACTGATAAGTTATTGCTTAAACTGCATAGCAGAATTAAATGCCAAAAATGAGCAGCTGCAAAAAGAGAATGAAAGACATCGAAGTGATCTGGAAGACATGCAGGAGCAGTAAGTTGAAAAATCACATCCATGGGATATCCCTTTTGGGTGTTTTGTATTGATTACATCCGGCTTCTTCCCAAGCAGATACTCGCTTATTTCATTATTACGTACTTTATTACACTTGCTCTAGTTGGCTCTGAAAATAGAAATATACAACTATTGAATGTGTTTTATTAGGGAGCATGATATATTAAAAATCTTGGACATTATCTTGGATTTTTGAACATGCCATGAACTTCTTAGGGCAAAGTTTGCAAATGAGCTTCGCAGATACCTCCAGTTCAATGGAATGTGTGCAATGTGTAAATCATACCACCGCTCCAGTATGTTCTTGTTTATATAGTAAAACAAATGTGGTGAATACTTAGACAACGTCCCTTATACATAGGTCAGCACTACATTTCTGTTCCATCTGTGGTTTGGCATTTGCCAACAAAATTAATATAAATGAATTTTTATCAGAAGACCTGTCAATTAGAGGTGACAGATCACTTGAACTATACAGATAAAAAATGCAGGTTGGGAGTTAAGATAGTTAAATAAATTATCTGAAAATGACTGCCAGAAACTCAAGTAGCAGGTTATCAACAGAATGAAAGGAGGAGAGATGCTAATAAACCCAGACATAATGCAACAAAGGATGAAAACAACACATGCAAACTCAGATTTTCTGATATGTAAGCACTGGTCTCTGTAGCAGTTTTTCTTGTCATTTGCTAAGTAGAAGGATCTCACTCTGCAAAGAGGAAGAATCTGCTTAGTTTTTGTTAAGCCAGAATCCCTGTATATCTTTAATCCTTGTAAAAATCAGGGAACTGCGGGTGTTAATTTAATTCAGTTGTTTCTGTCTGTTTTTGTTTATTTTCTAACAATACAGTTCAAAACAAATCCATTTAAAAGTAAGTCCTACTGAGTTCAATGGTGCTTACTTTCATGTAAGTGGGCCTAGATTGTAGTTGAAATGGCTGTATTTCAAATATTTTTGATGTTCTTCTGTTCTGCAAGCACTGATAGAAGTGTATTTTCCAGCTGATAATTTCCCATGGTTTGTATATAAAAGGGACTGAAATGTTTAAACTGTACAAGTGCAGAATAGAAAAATCTCCATCAATCAATTGTCCTGATTTTCTAAAATGTTTGTTTTAATTTGGTATTCCAATTAGCTGTGTAAATCTATTTCTTTTAATGTTAATTTTTGCATTTCACTGCAGTAATCCCTGCCTCCCCACTAAAAAGCTAAAGTTTGATTTATACATGTAAATTCTCTTGGTGCTTGATTACTACATATGATCTTTCTTTTAAGAGTTATTGAGCTGATCTATATGGTAATAATACCCAGCTATTTGCATTTAAATTAGATGAATTATTTATCAGCTGTTGAACTTATCCATAAAGCATATGAGGTCTGACTAAGTTAATAGTTCATATTATTATTTTCTCTTTATGAACACTCAGTATGTAAAGCTGTAAAATCTGTATTTGCTAATATTTTAACAGAATCTTTTAAAGGTCTCAGTAAATTTCAAAACACAGACTTGGTATTTTGGCTCTTTATGGTTTAATGTGCATGAAGAAACTTCATTTAAAAGGCAATCCTGTGTATGTTTCAATAGAAATAAGCCATGCAGGCTGGAGAATGTGGGAGTTGTGAGACTTTTAATCTATGTATGCGTAGGACACCCCTGCAATCCATGGCTTGTTCTTGGGTCCTCAGGTGTTTTGGAAGCCACTCCTGCAACCCAGCTTTGCCAGAATCAGACATGCCAGCCTGTGCATGCTGTGTGTAGTTATGGAAATAAGGCATTGTGCAACCAGCATACACAGGACAGAGGAAAGAAGCCACTGTGTCTTCTTTTCTTTCCCCCTTTGTGCAAACCCAGCCATTCCCAGTACTCCTTTAGTGATATAAGTTACTACATTTTGAGCATGTTTAGCAATAATTTGGTTTCCAAATTAATGAGCCAGTATAGAGTAAACCTGGAGACCTACACTCTCCTTTTCTTCTGTGCTATCTGACAGTGTCTCATCCAGCTGCATAGCCACTGTTGTTTACTAATACAAAGTCTAATTCCCTTGAATCTTTAAGCTCAATCATGGAATCAAATGAGCTTCACATTATCTATGAATTTTGTTTTACTTTTTGCTGTGTGGCAGTGGACTGAGCTGGTTTATTATACTTACAGCCTGCCTTTTTTTTTCCTTTCAAGGAACTCAGGATGGCATACATAATTTTCCTCCTTTTTTCAAGCAGAGGAAGGTTGGGTGGAGGGTCTATGTCTGGCCCAAAAAGTCACCCAATGAGCTTCATGGCTGAGTTGGGACTAGAACCCAGTCCTGCATTTTAACCACTATACCACAGTGGTTTTGAGCTGAAATCCTGCGGAGCTTATTGCATACAACTCACAGCCTCATATACCATCTCTACCACAGCTTTTTGAATGGTTATGATAGTACGTAAAAACATCTGAATTTATCTCAGTTGTCTATCATATGCTTGTAGCAGCTCAGCTAAAAGTTAACTAAAATTATTGTAAATAGTTATACTGTTAATTTATACCATTTGGAAGTGTGAACACATTTCAGAAGCACTTTATATGAATATAACAGTAATTTCTATCCAATAGGGATTAATATTTATGTGGTTGAATCCTCCTTTTCTTTTTCATTTTTCTTTTTTAACCCTCTTATATTACTGGCATTTACTATTTTTACTATCATAATGAATGAACCCTTTAGCAACTTGACACTATATCTTAACTTAAAATTTAAATAAGGTTTTAAGTGCCTGTATTTTTGAGGGGCTATGTTCAGCATAGTGCTAGCAAACTTCTTGTGCAATACTTCCGGTTCCTCTTTCTTTCCTTGGACTACCACCCTCCTCTTCTGCTCCCAGCTCACCAGAGTAGATATATGAGTATATTTGAGACTGGTGGAGGATAATCTGTAGGGATACAGAAAAATCAATTTGCTAGTGGTGTCTACTCCACCAAAGAACAAAGTATGTTGGGTACAATAGTGTTTGCCAGTCCTACATAAACATTACATCTACAGATTTTTTAAAAAATGATTTTAAAATAAAAAACAAAACAGTGTTTTAAATGAACTGTTTTGAAGTTTTTACTTAAAGACATTGGAAAGTTTCAGTATATAGATTTGATCTAACAAAAGCTCATACGTGCATCATATCATTTCCAAAGGGATGTAATATATATGTAAAATAATATCTGTTCTTGATTTGCACACCTATTTGTATGATTTCTGCCATGCCACATGCTTTTTATTTAAGCTGCTAAGACTATCCATTCATTTTGGAAGCTCCATTTATTTTTATTGTAAAAGTAAAATGTGCATTTGCTTTTCAGGTTCCAAAAGTGTGTTGAAGCTAAAGAAGAACTAGAGACTGATCTTTATAAGCGATTTATCTTGGTCCTCAATGAAAAGAAGGCAAAGATAAGAAGCTTACAAAAATGTTTAAATGAAATTCAAGAAAGTGTAGTGAAAACTACAGAAGCAAGGTACTGTTTATTGCTTCCCTTGTGTTACTAAGCAACATGTTTGAAGGTTTTGTTTTGTTTTGTATTTTATTTTATATTTTAATATTTCTTGGCTGCCCCTCAGAGCAGGACCACAGCCAAGGCAGCATGCAACAATAAAACTCACATGATAAAAAACTTATGCAGTAATAAAAACAGTAAAAACAGAAGCAGCAGCTGCAAACATTCTAAAACGCAAGAAACACCAACATAAAAGCAAAAACGTAACATAAAACTTAACACATATAACTGCTTCTAGAATCCAGTCAAATAAAGCACACTCAGAGGAAGGCCAGAGTAATAAAGTAGGTTTTCAGGGCTTTCCTAAAAGTCTGCAATGATGGTACTGGTGGATGACAACTTATTCCAGAGGTGTCAAGTCACTGTAGAGAAGGCCTTTTCTCATGTATTGAGGGTATTCAACTGCCTCACAGGTGGCCAAATGAGATTTGCCTTGCTGTTCTTTGTCTGGTAGAGAATATGGAACTTTAATGGAGTGTTCTTGGAGTAAATGTTGCCTTATTTGGATAAGAGGAACAGATGCATTTAGTATTCCTGCAGTTGAACCTTATTAATACACTACTGAGTTTGAAACTTCATTTGAAACTCACTAATGTTTTGTCTATATTCCTATAGACACTCTATGCCTATATTTAACCCTGGCTTTAAAAGAAGGATAAATATGTTAGCTAATGAGATATCAGACTGGACCTTCCTTGGCAATATTTGTGATTATAAAACAATTAAAACTAGCTAGAATAATGACTATTTGGAGTTCAAGTTTATTTCCTGTAAGTGGAAAAGGGGGGAATAGAGCTCATTTAGATTTACTTAAAACAAGAATAATTGGTGACCACTTTCTGGCATAAATCTGCTATTTTTTCTTCAGTGAAAGAAAATGGAGAGAACTAACTAGGACTGTAAATGAATGTATTCGGTAAGGAGATACAGCCCCTTTCCTAATGGCAAATGGTCTTGAAAACAGTACTAAAATTTTAGCAGAACTGTAGAGAGAAATACTCTAGTAAAGTAAATAACATTACTAAAGTACTTTACTAGAGGCTATGACTGTAATGAAAATAGGGGATGGGCAACCTTTGGTCCTTCAAATGTTTTGGCACACAATTCTCATAATCCTTTCCCTATGATTAGGCCACATAGGATTGGTGGGAGTTGTAAACCAAAACATCTGGAGGGCCACAAGTTGCTAATCCCTGGTGTACATCAACTTTCCCTCACCTGTTGTCCTTCAGATATGTTGGACTGTATCTCACATTGAACATACTAGCTGAGGATGATGGTAGTAGACATGTTGGACTGTATTTCCCATTGGACATGCTGGCTGGGTAGTCAACACATCTGGAGGGCATCACAGTTGAGGAAAACTAATGTAATTAAAACTAATGTTGCAGCTTTTCACTACAGTTAATATTCAAAGAGATTGTTACACATGCTGAAGTCATTTTAAGGGAATTGTAGGAGATGGCTGTCTCCCATCACAACACAGAAGCAGCTACAATGTCTCCAGAAAGTGGAAGATTTACTTTTGGTAGCCTAGACAGCATTAGGACATAGGAAAGAAAGGACAAATATGGTTGAGGATAGGAGGGAGAAAGTCTGGATATGTCCATTGTCTGCTTTTCCCTTTATATATATATATTCTGGCAGATGATAACACAAACCTTTATAGGTCCCAAATTATGCTTCACCTTCAAGTTCCATGTCCTTTAGAAACAATGAATTGTCAAAATGAGAGTGCTAGCATAAGACTGAAAGGATTAATGGCTTAAACAGCTGCCAGAATAATAAATTGTGAATGAAAACACTGGAATTTATTAGCTATCCAGCCCTCAGAGGAGATTTGTGTAATTAACTGGTGAATGTTTCACACAAATTTGGCCAAAGTCCTTTAAGAATGTAGTCCAAGACTTCCCCCCACTCCCCTGCTCCAATATACTGTGCAATGTGCTGGAGTGGCTATCTTTGCTGCCCTGTATTCCATCTAGATCACCATTTTTGGCTGCTTAGATGAAGTCCCCTGGACGAGGAAGAAAGGAAGCTGGAGAACCATTTGAATATGGCATAAGCCATCAGCTCCAAGCCCCTCTCCTGGCATAGCCCTTTTCTTCTCTGAAGCCAATTTCTGAGGTCTGAGAAGTAGCTAGCATGTTTTGGTTTGGTTTGGTTTGGTTTTTTGGTCCAGCTGTGATGGGCATTGGTGCAGCTCTGAAGCTGTAGGATCTTGAAGCCAGAATAATCCGGTGCATCCCACCCATACCCTGGACATGTCAGGAAGCCATTGGATTGCACTCTAAGTCTGTTGTTGTTTTCACTGTTTTTGTTATTTTCATTTTTATACTGCCCCTAGCCAAAGTTCTCTGGACGGTTTACAGCAAAGTATAAAAGCAATAAAATACAATAGATAAAAACATTAAGAATTAAAAAATTAACTTAAAGTACAGGTAGTCCCTGGGTTATAGATGAGTTCTGTTCCTGAGAATGTCCTTAAGGCGAATTTGCATGTAAGTTGGATCACATAAGTAAGCCAAATGTAAGTATATGTATGTGCATTTTACATTCCTATGTGTATAAAACACTCAAGAAACACTTCCATGTTCACTGAACATCTTAAACACAATACAGCATTGTAATAATGATAATAATACAGTAATAATAAAGTAATTACAGGTACTGAAGAGAGAGGGAGAGAATCTGTATGCAGTATTGTAAAAAACAAATAAAAGAGACAGTTGTTAAAACAGTTTAGAACGTTGTTGAGGTAACATTAACTAATGATGATGGATATGGACTTGGTGCTGGAGAGTCAGGGTTTGGTTGTGCTGCTGGAATGGGGCAGGTAACCCCTGGAGTTGCTTTTTTGAAGTCGGCCTCAAGGGTTGTTTGTACAGCCATTTTACTTTTCTCACAATAAATGGCCTTGTGGTAGCTGAGGGTCTGGTTACAAGGCCAGTGCTACAGAAAAACTGAAGGGGAACTACATGCCCTACACATGCTCCAAACCACACCGGTTTGGGTATACTTGAGCTAATACCCAGAATGAAAAATTGTGAATACTGTATCTCTAGGAAACTAACCTGTCACTGATGACACATTGCTAAACATGTCATGTAATTTCCTAGAGATATGTTACATACTTCTTTAGAGGTAGCCATGACTATCTCTAGCAAAAAGCTGTGAATATCTCTAATGAAAAGCTGTGACTATCTCTAGGAAACTATGCAGCCCCTGATGACACAGTGGCAAATGCATTGCATACTTCCCTAGAGATATTCATATAGGGGAGGCCATATGAGTAAAAGAAAGGCACCTGGGTAATTGTATTAGGCTCCTGAATGACCAGGGAGATCATTGAATGCCTATGCAAAGAGGTCTGTCTTAATCTGGCACCGAAAAGATGGCAAATTTGGTGCCAGTCTGGCTGCAGTAGGGAGGTTGTTCCAAAGATTGGGTGGGGGGACCACTGAAAAGGCCTTTCTCCTAGTTACCACTCTCCACGCCTCTTGGGTGGTTGTCACCAGAGGAAGGCCCCAGAGGCTTTGCGAAATGTCTAGGTAGATCAGGGTTGGGAGAAGTAGTCTGACAGTTACTGTGGTCCCAAGCTATTTAGGGCTTTATAGGTTAAGACCAGCACCTTGATTTGGGACTAGAAGCATACAGGCAGCCAGTGCAGATAGATCAGAACTGGTCTTATGTATTCACACCTCTGGGTCTCAGTTATTAATCTGGCTGCTGCTTTCTGTAGTAGCGGCAGCTTCTGAATATCTTCAAGGGCAGCCTACATAGAGTGTGCTGCAGTAATCCAATTTAGAGATTACCAGAGCAAAAATTACTGAAACCAATATCCTTTTCCAGGTAAAGGCACAGCTGAGCCACCAGTGAAAGCTGGTAGAAAGCACTCTGAGCCACCAGTGCCACCTGAGCCACTAGTGACAAAGATAGCTGAAGGAGCACCCCTAAGCTGTGAACCTACTGCTTTAGTGGGAGTGCAACTCTACCTAGAATAGGTTAACACGCCCCATCTGATCAAAGAAATCACCCAGAAACAGCATCTCTGTCTTGTCAGGATTGAACTTCAGTTTGTTAGCCCTCATCCAGTCCATTATCATAGCCATGCACCAGTTCAGCACATCCACAACCTTACCTGCTGAAGATGAAAAGGAGAGATACCATTGCATGTTATCAGCATAGTGATGGCAATGCCCTTCAAAAGTCTGGTGATCCCACTCATCAGTTTCATGTAGATGTTAAATAGCATAGGGGACAGAACAGACCCCTGAGAAACTCCATCCTAGAGGATCCAAGGGGCTGAGCAATATTCACCAAGCATCACCTTCTGGAGAAGGCCCTCCAAGTGGGAGCAGAACCATTGCAATGCAGTGCCTCCTATTCCCATGGCTGATGGCATCAAAAGCAGTCTCAAAAGAGGTCTAGCTGTATCAACAGGGTTGCACTCCTCTGTCTCACTCCTGGCATAGTTCATCATATAGGGCGACCAAGACTATTTCTGTGCCAAAACCAGGCCTGAACCCTGATTGAAACAGAACCAGATAATCAGTTTCATCCAAGAGGGTCTGGAGTTGATTAGCAACCACTCTCTCTAGAACTTTGCCCAGGAAAAGAATATTTACTACCGTCCTGTAGTTGTTCAGATTTTCTAGGTAAAGGATTGCTTGCTTGCTTGCTTGCTAATTGCGAAGTCACATCTTACCCATTGCGACTCCATGGACAACACTCCTCCAGGCCTTCCTGTCCTCCACCATCCCCTGGAGTCCACTTAAGCTCACACCGACTGCTTCAGTGACTCCATCTAGCCACCTCATCCTCTGCCGTCCCCTTCTTTTGCTGTCAATTGTTCCTAGCATTAGGGTTAGGATTATTGAAAAAGAATTATTTTAAAATTATGCTGTGCAAATAGACAATGACTTTGTATTGTCTGTATTGTATTTGCATTGTAGTGGCAGTGCAGAAACATCTGAAAGTAGAGATGAAAAGGAAGCTTATGAAAGAAGCACTGATGAAGAAAGTGAAAATTTGATACAACCCTCCACATCAGCACCAGGTAAAGTAGACCAAGATGTTTATATAAGAGGGATCTCAAATCTGTACCCTTTATTTTAAAGAGCTATAACATAATGTAGACCAAAACTTTCAGACTACTTTACAGCAAGTTAATATAAAAGCTTTCAATTAAAAGTAAATCTCCAAAAAGGAATACATGTTTAAAACATGTATCTGGAAAAAAAATGGTAATGCAAGCATTCATTCTCTTCTATTTTCTTTTCCTTTAACATACGATTTCATTACAGCCAAGTTTATTGACTGCTGTTTCTGTATTTATATTACTTTATGTGATTTATTTATTTTACTCTTTTAATGTACATCACAGTCAGAGCTTATGCTGAAGGTGGTTCATGAATTCTCCAAACAAGTAAATAACTGCCATTTGCAGGTGGGAAATTATTCTAGTAGACAGTAATTTCTGAATATTATGTTACATGCCTTCTTAATTACTTCTCAAACTTGAAATTAGTTTAGTCTGCAACCTTATGCACATTTGCTAGTCCCAGTGTACTAATTTGGCTTTAGTAGGTTTTATTTAATTAGGACTTTTAAATTCAGCCTTGGTACTTGAGTGCATGGGGTTTCTAGGCTGTCACCCATCCAAGCACTGACCAGACTCTGACCTGCTTAGTTTCAGTCAAGGTGGCTGAATCATCTGACTAAACTTTTAAAGGGCTGCACTGTTAATCTCTTTTGTATATGGGGGAGCTAGTTAGAAATAGCAACTTAAAATGAACCTACTGTAAATGAGCTTCAAAATAACTGCTAAAATCAAGGTATTTATACAGTATGTCTGACTATGATTCAAAAGCTTAGACATTCTGCACTGAAAAGTTTTGAGATGAATGGCGGTAGTTCATTAGCCATATCTGCATCTGAATGCTAGATCACTCAATTATTTTTCAAAATTGCACTGATTAAAAAGCAGCATGATTCCATTCCAGGTTCATGGAAAGTTGAATACATTGTGTTTATTTAAAGGAATGTATCCTGCTAACTTAACTATGTTCTGAAATATTTTTTTAATTATTGTTATGACTTATGCATGCTACTTGGACCTCCCTCAAGTAGAGGATTGTTCCATATTTGGGATTTCTTTTAAAGCTACCCTGCCACGTAAGCAATGCAATATTTGTTGCGACACTTTTGTTAATTACAAATATATATCCTTAACAAGACAAAACCTCCTCCTCCTGATCCACACCAACCTGGAAGCTCCTGAAATAAATAAAATTCAGTTATGGAAGAGGAGAGAGAAGAGAGACAGAGAGAGAGTCAGCTTTAATTAATGCAATTCCTAAGTGATGAAAATGGTGGAGGATTTAGTACTCTGCCAGAGTAAAGTAATAATTACTATTAAAAAGACAGCATCTGTCTTTCCAGAGAGTTCCAGTGAGTCTCAGTCTGAAAGGCCTGGGAGCTCTCTTTCATCTTCATGATGAAAAGCTCTCCACAGGACACTTTTCACTGCTTTGGCATAGCATGACGGACATACTTTCAGTAAGGTGTTAAAGATATGTGAAATTTAACACATGAGATTTATAAGAATAGGCAGGCCAGCAGCAATATGAATAATTTTTTATCCTTCTTTATTATCAATTTAAAGTACAACCAGACTCCAAAGTAGCAGAATGTTCTGTTCTTAAATGAAATCGTAAATTAATTTCAACTTCCCATATTGCTATATCTCAGCTGCCATAAATGTGTTTCTCATAGCAAATACATAAAATAGCCTGTACATTATCTCTACTTCTGCATGATGGGCAGAATTGTAGGAAAGCACAGCTGTTAATTTCAAAACCTTTCTGCAAATGGATATTGCTACAGAACAGACATTTGAAAGACAGCTCACTCTTGTGGAACGTTACCATATCAAATTTTCCCCCCTAAATTGAACCTGTCAACATGGGCTTCTATTAGCAGAAACCTTTTGGCTTATTGTATAAATTGGGTTGTAGGGGTAGGTTGGCATAGCAAAATGACAAACACAACGAGATCTGTATTCAGCTTCATCATGGTGGGAAATATAGAAACAAAAGTATGCAGGGCCTCTTTACTTTCACATTAGAGATCAATTGGAAAAACATTTGGCATCTTATTATTTCACATTAGGCTTTGGTCTTTTTACTTAAATGGCAGTATCCAAAATATATTTATTGAAGGCAATGTACAAAAAAGTCATTTAATTCAGTAAACCCATTTGGCTTTCAAAACCTCAACTCCCCGTTTGTCGACCTATGCTACAGAACTCAGTGTCATTAAAATCAATAGAATTACTCATATGAAGTGGAAACAGTACAACTTCATATGTGCAAGTGTGGAGGGAGCAATTCTCTGGTGCCACTTGAGAGACTATGGGCTGTTTTCAATAGTGTTTGTTTACCAGTGGAATGGACACAACTGGAACACATTTCCCCTGACCTGTGGGTACCTGCGCTCCCAGGGGCTACTTCAGAGGACTGGGGGACTTTCAATCCAGACTTCAGGGGCTCATGAGAAGCTGAGGGAAGGAGGGAGGGAATGTCCAGCCAGGTGACATAGGATGGAGCCTTCTTCTCTAGATTATGATTACTGTGTTTAGCACAAGGATATGAGTAAATAAATACTGACTTAGACCACATGTTGATGATTAGAAATCTATCTGGAATTGTGATTGAGAAGGATTTCAGTTCTGCACAGTAGAGTATGGTGAAAGAGCTAGCTCTTCTTCCCCAAGGTAGGAATGGAATATTCTCTCATCTCTCATGTGAGTGTTGGAAGTTTCTTCATTCACCTTTCTTTACACCGGAGGACCTGCATATGTAGCAGTACTTTGTGTAATGGATAGAGTAGCTTTCCCCAGTCTTGTGTATTAGACTGCAAATTTTATTATTTATTTATTTAAAACATTTCTATGCCGCCCCATCGCAACAAAGCCTTGGGGCGGCGCACAACACATAAATAAATACAGGAGTAATAAAATAAATACTAAAATTATACGATAAATAACACCCCCCCAGTGCATTTTTGGCTAAAAAAAATGTTTTTTTTTGCCAATGGTTGTGGGTGATAGAAGTTTTAGTTTAAACATCTAGAGGGGAAGGTTGGAACAGAGCCCAGTTGCATTTTGTATTCTTTATGTGACTCCCTGAAAAAAGGAAGCACGTTTACTGGCAATTGCGATAATTAAAGACCAGAACCTTGATGCTGGCTATGTACATACGTGGAAGTAGTGAGCAACAAGCTTTATACGTTACTAAGTGAGCCAATCTGGAAGCATTCTTTTGTGCTCACTTCAACAATACCTTTTTTCTCTTGGCTTAAAGTCTGATAAATCTATTTGGTACAAATGTGTACAGAAACCAGTGTGCATCCAACTGCTGCTTAGCTGGGTCCTGTGATATCATCAGGAAAGTCACCACCACTATATCTCAGGGAAAAAATATGCTTGAAATTTTCTTTGGAACAGCCTTCCCCAACCTTGTAGCTGCCAGACACATTTGGATTGCAGCACCCAGAATTTCCAGTCAATGGCCCGGCTGGATGGGAATTCTGGGAGTTGAGGTCCACATACCTCTGAAGTTTCCCAGGTTGGGGAGTGCTGCATTATAAGGTATGAATAAGTAGTCAAACATTTATCGATTCATTTTATTACCATTATTTTCCTGCTTTTTAGGATCCAGAAATGGGCAGGCACCTTCCCTGCTTAGGATACTCATTCCTCAGTAAGTGAAATATATGGAATAAGGAGCCTTAGTGCCTGCCACATTGAGACAGGGAAATGTGGCAGGAGTCAATACCAGGAAAAATCTCTACTCCAGGCTTTGGAAAACTGCTGGCCATCAAACTAAAAAATCTAGATCAGTTGTTTGACTAAATACACAACTGGATTTTTTAAAAGAGTCTTACATTCACATGGTTAAGCCTTTCCAGTTTCTTACATCAGGTTTGTTGTTTCTTACTGTGACTGATGTAAGGGTCATCTGCATTTATGAAGACACAATTTGGAAGAGCATGTGCTACCTGAGCAGTATTTTAAAGACTACATTGTGTCTTTCAGGCAAGACTGAAGTGAAAAAAGGAGTTTTACAGAGGCTAATCCTAAAGGACTTCATTATATAGCTAAGGGAATGAGTTTTACTGCTGCATAAATGTCCATGTATAGATACTGCAAGGTCTCTCACCAAACTGAAAGCTTATGTGGGGAATAAAATTAGCAAGAGCATAGTAGCCTTTTCAGAGAAAGAAACAAAGGCTTCTTAGCACTTTACCTAGGAAATTGCTCTCCCAGTCATTCTTAAACCTATAAATAATGTTGAAACGATGTCAGTGCTCTGACGTTTGGTCTTAAGTAGATTTGAAACAGACACAATGTGTGCATAGCTGAAATTGGAAGGATCTTTATAAATCATTTTGCTTTCTTGTGTGCTCAAAGCAAATTAGGGCTTAATGTTTACAGGTCTCTCAGCTGTTTATAGCTCTTACCTGACTGTGCTTTCTTTGGCAAAGCATAGCAGCTCTGGGAAGCGGTTTTATTTTGTTTATGTATACTGGTACTCAAGCTGGGCTATTACAGCTGTCCTTTGGCAAAATTATCGTCAGATCTCTGATCTGCAAAGTGTAGTCTATCCTACTTTTATCATTCTTTCTCATAACTTTTAAGTGTTGCAGTTTGGTACAAATTACTAATAAAAGCATTCAATTTACTACTTGGGTTATATCTGGTACATAGTCATAGGTTGCTTTGATTGCATTTTCAGCACTCAAAAGTCCTGGGCCAGTGGTTTCTTCATTTTAACATCTGAAAAGTGTAAGCTGTTGTACTTAACAAAACAAGCTTCTTGCTACACCGAAACACTACTTATTTGTTGGGAAATTTGATCTGGAGCAATCTATTATACAGAAGAGTGAAAACACAACTGCTGGTTCCAAATGAAGGTAGTTTTTACAGTATTCTGATTCTGGCTGATTATTCTATCTCCTTAACTACATACAGTGACAGCTTTGGAATCCATAGAA